GTGAGAAGGGGCAGCGAGGCCACTCACCTCTCTGCTTGTCCCGTAAGGTCATCTCCTTCTGATGTGGGAAAGGCGGGTCCACTGCGGTGGGAGGGGACACGTAAGCGAGACCCGGCTGGCGGGCACCTCTCGGGGGCCCGGCCAGCTCCGTCACGAGAGAAAACCCACAGAGATGTCAAAAAGCTGTTTTTACGCCACAGTCGCCCAGCTTTGCAAGAGAGACGTCACGTCCCTCAGCTCCGCACACGGGAGGCTGCGGCCGGCGCGGGAGCTCGAGGCACTTACGCTCCTTCTGCCGGAGAGGGGCCTGGACTGGGGGCAGCCCTTGGTGCTGCGGGATGACCTTCGGGGGCTGAGGGGGGTCCACTGCAGGGTGGTGAAGGCAAGAGAAGCAACGTGAGGCGGGTGGGCCGGCACAGGGGTGGCGTGCGTGGGGGCGGGGGGCTCACCTGGCCTCTGCAGGGGCAGCCGGGGCGGGACCGGCCCTGTCTCTTGCAGGGGCATGTCGTGAGGGAGGAGAGGCTGCACTGCAGAAGGGCCGTGTGTGAGGGACTCCCTGCCCGGCCTCCCTCCCCCCGCCCCGGGACGGGCCTGGCCGGACGAAGCCTGGGGTGACCGAGAAGGGCTTCGGCACTGACCTTCACTCTGGGCCTCAAACTCGGGGCCAAGCCGCGGGGCGTCGGGGGGATCCATGGGGAAGGCCTGGGTCAGGGGCGGGGCAGGCGGGGCCGCATAGCCAACTGGAGGCCGAGGAGATGGTCAGGGCCTGCGGTGCTCCCGGGACCCCCAAAGCGCCCCACTCCCTGCCACACTCACCTTCTTCGAAGGGCTGGTTCCCATCTGGAAAGGGCCCCAGCTGAGCCTTCTCGGGAGCCTGCACACCTGGGGGCACGGCGGGGTGAGGGCCTGCGCGGGCCCTGTCCCGACCGCGGCCACGGGGCAGGGGGCAGGGGGCAGCGGCTGCTGTCACCCGGCTGTGTGCACGTGCCGGGGTGGAGCCCGGGCCTCCTTCGGCTACAGGGCGCCTGCCCCAGGCCCTGGGGCTCCCCGGCCTGCCTGCTGTGGCTGGGGCTCCCTCCCCGGCCGGGGAAGCTTCTCTAGTTCTCAGCGGGCAGTGTGCACCTCCCGCTGAGCAGCCTGGGCCTCGAGAGCCGGAGCGGCCGCAGCCCAGGCCTCCCGGTGGGCCCGAGTCCCCCACTGGGGCCAGGACGATCAGGACCGCGAGGCTCCTCACCCCGAGCCTGAGCAGGAGTCGCCTGCGGCTGAGGGCGGGCAGACAGGCTCCAGTGACAACTGGCCGGCTGGAAGTGTCCCGTCACTTCCCTGGGGCAGCAGTTGCAGGGCGCACAGGCCCGAGGGGCGAGTGGCCCAGAGGGCGGCACCTTCTCAGCTCCCCGCAACCAGGCGGGGAGTTGGTCAGGGGCCAGCAAGACAGTTCTGAGCAGCTTGGGGGGCGCCGTAAAGGCCCCGCATACAGGCCCTCAGGCAGAGGTCCCACCTGGGACGCCACCCCCAGCTGTCCGTCTGGCCGACCGGAGTTGTGGTCTTGCCGCCATCTCGAGCCCCTCTCCTCCGTGACCTGCGCCCCTGGCTGAAGGCTCGTGCCCAGGTGCCCCCCAGAAACCGGCTGAAGGAGGTCGCCCTGTGCGAGAGCCCTGGGGGGCTGGCCGGCTCCCGCCCGACTCACCTCCCTCGGAGGTCACAGACGCGACAGCCAAACAGGCCAGGAGCGCGGCGGCCCAGGACGGGGTCCCCATGGGGCGAGGCTGGCCGGGCCGGGCGGCTCGGGCGCGTC